TTTCATAACTACCTGATTTTCAATTGTTTGGATTTGAAATACTTGAAATGCTTGAAACATGATGTGCTGAACTTATTTGTGACTTGAATCTGTTAAGGCAAGTGTGCTCTTATGTACATTCAATTGACCTGATTTGACTAAACACTTGATATCTTCTTCATGCATGAACAACTAACTTGATTTGTATGTGACCTGTATATTGACTTGAAATACTTGGAATGCTGGAGAATGTGAATTATTGGACATTACTTGTGACTTGATTATGGCGAGGTGAATGTGTTCTTATTCGCGTTCGACCCCATGAACTTGAATTAATCGATCCTGCGTATGGACTTGCATGTTTATGTGCATGATTGTAGTCTGACTCCATTTCTCTTGTGGTGGTTGAACTGTAGACCGGCTGCATTTCTCTTGTGGTGGTTGAATAGTAGACCGGCTACATCCTTCTTGTAGCGGTTAAATTGTAGACCAGCTACATCTCTCTTGTAGTGGTTGAACTGGGCCTTGGACTTTATCTGAGACGTCGGGTAAGTGGAATTTAGGATTACTCATGCGTATCCGTGAATATAAGTTGGTAACGGTTGAACTGAACCCTCGATGGACCCCTTGCTTTAAACCAGCCTCAGAGCGGTCAGGTAAGTTAGGGAATCTTGGGTAAAGGACAAGTCCCTAATCTGTTTACTCCTGACTAGAAGTCATCATTGGAATACTGATATTACTGAATACGGAGCGTTAAGTATCAACTAACGTCTCCAATCATTACTGCGTGAGCGTTGGATAATAGCCAACGACTCCATTCCCGATTATTGAATACTTGGGATTATAAGTCATATCCTAAATTACTATATATCTGGGACTATAAGTCCAACCTAGGGTTAGTTAGTTGAAAACCGAGTCAGCAAGGGTTTGGTCGAGGAGATCAATGAACCTTGAGTACTTCTTTGACATTCGAGTCCGGTAAGGGGTATGTTTGGTGGACGAAAATTGGTGTAAAGTGGAGATCTATGGACATTATACTTTTGTGGTTGACGAAGAGTCAACGGACCTTAATCAACCTACTATGGAACTTGCTCTTGAGAGCAACCTATATCATTTGCCATGAGTGTGTTCTTTACTGTACCCTTTTGCATGATCTATCTGGCTACTTGTTTAACTATATACTGGGTCATGATCTATTTGAGTTTGACATGTTTCTTGATGTCTGGGTATGCTATCTTGTCTCTTATTTTACCTGCTTGGTTACGTGGAATTTCACTGGACTTTTAATTCATTCCATACCATTTGTTTTTCTTACAGGGATGAGAACATAAGAGGTTGAATTGAGAAAGGCCTCGTTTTCTTCTAAGTTTGTTAGTTGCTTGAGCGAGTACTTCATAGATGTCTAGCCAGTTTGTTTGACTGTATTATAAATAGTGTGGATATTGGAGGTCCATGAGAGTATCTATATTGAAGGCTGTAATTAATATCGTTGTCTTTATTGAGGTTTTATTTGTAAATTTTCATGATACGTGACTGAGTTCTGGCGTGAGTTGGGCAGGCGGTCCGTCAAACCCTTGGGTACGCCCTAGGAGGAGGTGGGGCTGTCACAAGCAAAACTAAATTTAATTATGCATAAATATAAACATCTATAGACAAAAACATCCAAAAAGTTATATCACATATGCCAAAATTCGTAATTATTCATTGCAAGTAATTTGTTATAATCATTACTATTAACTCAACAAATGTCATCATTATTAATAATATCAGTAATAAAATAATTACAAATTAGTATTCATTAATAATAAGTAAAAATAATAGAGTGCCTAGATAATTACAAATAAATAATTGAAGATAAAGTTATTAATTACTATTATTAATTAAATGATGATTAATGGTTCTGCTTTACTATTAATCGAATTATTATTACTAATTATTTTTAATTACTATTTACAGTGAATTTGTAATCACTAAATTCAAGTACACTTACTATTCGTTATTATTCACTAATCATAATTCTTATTTAACTCTGACTACTAATGAACATTACTACTACTTAGTAGTATTTACTAATAGTATTAGTTACTATTACTATTACTTACTAATTATTAGTGCTCTTAATTACCAATCACTACCTCAATTTACATTTTACTATTGTTATTTGCTATTTACTATTAGTATTTACTTTTACTATTATTATTATTATTATTATTTAATTATTACTATTACAATTTACTATTTACTATAACTATTACAATTTATTATTATTATTAATACTTACAATTACTTTTACTATTACTATTTACTATTTACTATTGCTATCACTATTACTATTTATTATTCCTTGTTACTTTTACTATTTATTATTCACAATTCACTGTTACTATTTACCATTATTATTTTTAGTTATCAATACTATTACTATTTACTATTTAGTGACAACAACACATTAATTTACATAAAAAAATTACTATCTACTATTAGCTACTCAAAGCTTCACACATAGCATGAAATCTGTTATATAAAATAATTATTAATACTAATTACTAACAAAAAGTACCTTAATTGGATGACAGGGGTTCACTTTCTCTGGATGCACACCTCTTCAAAGTTTTAGATCGTCAACAAGAGGATTGCAAGCCACTGTTTCAACACATGGAAAATAGGTGAGGTGAAACTACTGCTTGACTGCCTGAAAGCTTGGAAGACAGGCGAAAGTAGGCCACTTCTTTAGTCTGCCTTTGCTTTGGGATGACAATGTCGGCAACACTACTTTGGTAAAACACTGAAATAGGTTTTGGGAACACGTTTTTGAATCTGTTTTCAAAAAGACACTTGCGGAACCACTCTATTTAGAAGATACTAGAGGAGAAGGAGGGATTTGAGGATGAAAAATAGAGAAAAATGTGGGTGCTGCGAGAGAAATTGATGAATTTGACATATCTTTTTTAGCAAAACTTCAACGAAGATAGTTTGTATTGATTTTACATCGTGTGCATCAGAAAAATCAAACTGTTCATCTCATTATATTCAACGGCTAAAATTCATCATGCGACTATTCAAAAATTATTTTCGGAACTTAAAGCTTGACTGTTGATCACATTTGATCAACGATCAATCATGATCACCTTTTGGATGCAGCAATGTCTGACTGGAAAAATATTTTTTTATGCCGATTTCGATATTTGCGATGATACATTCAAACAAATTATTTTTCGTAACTTTGAAACGCAATCATTGATCACGTTTGATCAATAGTCAATCATTTTTTGCTGTATCCACTTTTGGATTTGTTTGTTCAATTTTAATTTGCGGCTATAGAAAAAAAATTTGCAATTTTAAACCATGACCATTGATCACATTTGATCAACGGTCAATGAGCTTCCGCCGCATCCACAGCAATTTCTGAATTTTTATGTACGCCACAATTTTAATTTGTGGCTATAGAATAAAAAAAAATTTGCCACTTAAAACCATGACCATTGATCACATTTGATCAAAAGTCAATGAGCTTTTGTCACATCCATTTGTGGATGCGGCATCTGACACATCTTGTGGTGACTGGAAGCATTTAAAAAAAAATCTTAAGCTACATCTAGCATTAAAAAAATTAAAAAATAAATGAAATTTTTTGTATGCAAATTTTGTCAATTACAGTGACCCTTATTTCAGAACCAGCTCCTATAGAATACATTTTTTATGTTCTCGTAAACCAACAATATATCAAGAAATTCACCGAGATCAAAGGCGTGGTAAAGCTACACTATTAATTATTAGTATTATTTATGCATTAAGAAATTATATAGTGTGAGCATGTTTTTACTTCAATTCAGAAATCATCAAATGCATAGAACTTTTAAACCCTATTTGATACCTCAGTTCAATACTTAAATTTAATAGATTCATTTTAATATATTCAAATCATTTGATAATCAAAAATTGAACATCTGAATTAATTAAATGATATTGAATTTTCTAGGCAAAACTTGCTCCAAAATTAAGTGATAAACTATTCATTTATCACTGAATGTGATATGCACTCAAATATATTAAATTTAATACTTAACAATTCAACTACTTAATGGATTCAGACTTCAGATTTCAATTTTTAAACTTCAGTTTTCAGACTTCGCTTCGATTTTTCTTCCCGAGAGATAATGTTAGAAATATTCACTTGTTTTTAGTTAACCATGTTTGTTTATTTTGTTCTACCGAGTTAGTGAAGTTCGTGAAATTAGTAGAGTTAGTGAAATTAATGGAGTTAGTGGAGTAACTAGTAGAGTTAGTAGAGTAGATAGTGGAGTTAGTCGAGTTAGTGAAGTTAGTGGGATAGTTGGTGGAGTTATTTTGATCTCTATAAATAGAGCAGTTTCATGTTACAAGTTTAGTATCAGATTTACAAAAAAAAAAATAAAGTATAGTTCTTTGTTTCTCATTATTTTTTCAATAATTGTATCAGTGGCATCAGACCTAGATTCATGAGTGAAAACAAAAGTAAATTGTGAGAATTGTGTTAGTAAGTCACGATAACCACCAACAACTTTGTATAGTTAGTAATTTCTCATTTTGATGGTCTCTATGATCATTAGAACATGTAATGGAGAACTTCTTGAGATCCAAGAAGTATTGACATGTTGTCGAATCTAGAGTAGCAGAGCTAAAAGTCGAAGTAGTATTGCTAGAGGTGCAAAAAATGGAGTTGGAAGTATTGAAGTTGAAGGATCTTAAAGCCAAGAATTATCTTTTTCAAACTATTGATCGAGCCATCTTGGAGACAATTTTCTTAGCAAAGATACCTCCGAGCAAATTTGGGACTCCATGAAGAAGAGGTATCAAGGAAACGCAAAGGCAAAGCGGGTGCAACTTCAACCTCTTCAGACCGAATTTGAGACTTTACGCATGAAGTCAAGCGGAGTCCGTCACACATTATTTCACAAGAACGGTGGCAATCACTAACACGATGAGGATCCATAGAGAGAATTTGGAGGACATCACCATTGTCAAGAAAAATCCTTCAATCGATGACAGTAAAATTTAATTTTGTTTTATGCTTTCTAGAGAAATCGAAAGATATTGATGCACTTTCAATTGATGAGTTGCAGAGTTCTTTGCTGGTTCATGAGAAAAAAATTAACCAGCAAAAGAAAGAGGAGCAAGCATTGAAGGTTTCAACAGAAAGTCACTCAACATGGAGAGGAGGTAGAGGCAAAGGCAGAGGTAGAGAAAGCAATAATTGTGATAACCAACAACAACAATATCAACACCAAAAAAATCAATTTCAAGGAAGAAGAAGAGGACGAGGAGGCCATCAATCAACAATTCAAAAGCCAAAGTCAACAAACAAGTCTAATGTTGAATGCTACAAATGTCATAGGTATGACCATTATCAATCAGAATGTCGAACTAATTTGAATAGACAAAATGGAGAAAGGACTAAATTTGCAGAAAAAGAAGAAGAAGTGTCTCTTTTGATGGTGTATCACCTAAGTGAAGAAACTCAACAAGACATGTGGTATTTAGACACCGGTTGCAGCAATCACATGTGTGGAGATAAAAAGGCATTCTCTGAGTTGGATGGGTCATTTTGTAATACTGTCAAGTTTGGTGATAACTCTACAATTTTTGTTATGGCAAAAGAAAGGGTAACTATCCAAACTAAAGGAAATTCTTCTATTCACACTATCACTAATGTTCTTTTTGTTCCAGACTTAAAGACAAACTTGCTTATTGTGGGCCAGTTGTTAGAAAAGGGGTACGAAATTTCCATCAAAGATCGAGTATGTTGGATTCGAGATGCAAAGTTGGGCTTAATTATTCAAGTTAAGATGATGGCAAATTTTATGTTCTCACTCTATTTGCAGAACTCGGCTCATTTATGTTTCTTAGCAAAATAAAAAATGTGGCATGGTAATGGTATTTTAGTTATGGACACTTAAATTTTAGTGGATTAAAGACTTTGTAGCAAAAAAATATGGTGGTTGGCCTATCTCAGATTACAATTCCTTCAAGAGTTTGTGAAGAATGTGTTGTTGGCAAACAACATTGGGATAGCTTTCCAAATAAAAAATTGTAGAGAGCAAAGAACGTATTGGAGTTGGTTTATTCTGATTTATGCGGACCCATAAATCCACCACCTACTGCTGCAAAACATTATTTTATGGTATTTATTGATAATTATAGTAAAAAAACTTGGATATATTTTTTGTAGGAAAAATCTGAAACACTTTCAACTTTCAAAAATTTCATGATGCTTGTCGAAAAGGAAGCAGAAAAGTCCATAAAATAGACAAGAATTTGTAAAATTTTGTGAGAAGAATAGAATTCAGAAGCAGCTTATAGCAGCCTATATTCCATAACATAATGGTATTTTAGAGAGGAAGAATCGTGCAATCTTGAACATGGTGAGGATAAGTTTGATAAGAAGTGGTATTCCAAAAGTTTTTGACCTAAAACTGTCAATTGCAACATTCATATATTGAACAGAAGTCCCACACATGCTGTTAAAAATATGACGCCTGAGAAAGTATGTAGTAGACGAAAACCAATAGTAGATCACTTCAAAATTTTTGCATGCACTACCTATACTTATATTCCAAACTGAAAGAGGACAAAACAAGATAATAAGAGAGAGAAATGCATTTTTCTCAGTGTTAGTGATCAATCAAAAGGTCTACAAAATTTGTAATCCTATCACTAAGAAAATTGTTATCAACCGAGATGTAATTTTTGATGAGAAAAAATTTTGATCATGGAATAAAAATGTTATTAAATAACAAATACCTGTAAATTTTGATGAAATTGATGAAAAAGAAGCAATAGCCGATAGAAGAAATTCCACCAGATGGTTCAGATAATGTTCCAAGTTCGCAAACTGTAGTAGAAGATGAAGGACGGCCTCAACGTATCAGAAAAAGACCTGCATTGGTGATCGATTATAAGGTAACTGGAATTGACTAATTTGAGGACCTACTTACACATTTTGCTCTATTTTTCAATTGTGATCCTACAGTTTTTGAAGAGACTATAAAAAATTTAAAGTGACAGAAGGCAATGGATGAAGAAATTGTAACTATTGAATGAAACAATACATGGGAGTTAACTGATCTTTCAGAAAGACAAGAATCAATTGGTGTCAAGTAGGTGTATAAGACGAAATTAAAGGAGAATGGAGAAATTGACAAATACAAAACACGTTTAGTAGCTTGAAACTATAAGTTAGAATTTGAGGTGAATTATGGAAAAGTCTTTGCTCCAATCATAAGGCATGGCACGATCAGAATAGTAATTGCACTGGCAGCATTACATTCATGGCCTATCTTCCAACTAAACATGAAATCAGCATTTTTACATTATGATCTACAGGAATGGGTATTTATTGATCAACCTCCTAGTTATGTGAAGGTTGAAAATGAACATAAGGTATACAAACTTAAAAAGGCGTTATATGGGTTAAAAAAAACCCCACGTGCTTGGTATAGTAGTATAAATGCTTATTTTTCTGAGGAATTTAAAAATTCTCCATATGAACATACACTTTTTATAAAGATTGGAGTTAGATGTAGATTGCTTATTGTTTGCTTAAACATTGATGATCTTATTTTTACTAGAAATAATAGTGCCATGTTTGAGAAATTTAAAAAATCTATGATGGCTGAATTTGATATGTCTGATTTTGGAAAGATGCATTACTTTTTGGGCATTGAAGTAGTGCAATATGCTGCTAAAATTTTTGTCTCTCAAAGACAATATGTGCAAGAAATTCTAAACAGGTTTCAAATGAAAAATCATAATTCTGCTAGTACGCCAGTTGAAGTGAATTTAAAACTCATTAAAGAATCTGAACGAAAAAGGGTTGATAGCACCCTTTACAAGCAAATTGTGGGAAAACTCGTGTATTTGACTGCCACAAGGCCTGATATTATGCATGTTGTAAGTTTTAATAGTAAATACATGGAAAACCCAAGAGAGACACATCTTTTAGTTGTCAAGAAAATTCTTCAATACTTGTTAGGAACCATTGCAGATGGGTTGTTCTACAAGAATAGTGAAAAATCAGATTTATTTGGTTTTACTGATAACAACTATGCAGGCGATCTTCATGATAGAAAGAACACGTTTGACTATATATTCATGATGGGTTCAACAGTTATTTCATGGTGTTTAAAAAAGTAACCAATTGTTACTTTATCAACAACTAAAACAGAGTTCATAGCTGCAACGGCCTGTGCCTATTAAGCAATTTGATTAAGAAATATTTTTAAAGAGTTGCATTTTCAGTAAGAAGGAGCCATTACAATTTACTGTCATAATAGTTCTACTATTAAACTCTCTAAAAATTTTGTATAATATGGAAGAACCTAGCACATAAATATGAGATCTCACTTTTTAAGGGAACTTACAAGGGATTGAATAATTGATTTTTTCTATTGCAAAAGTGAAGATTAATGACCAAACCATTGAAGTTATCCACGTTTCAGAAAACTAAGGAAATTGCTTGAGTTTCTGTAGTTGATAAATCCTATTAAACTGAATATTTGGAAAACTTTCAGTTTAAGAGAGAGATTGTTAGAAATATTTAATTGTTTTTAATTAACCATGTTTGTTTGTTGGGTTAATTACATTTACCTCCCCTGAGGTTTGACCATATTACCAATCAATCCCTGTAATTTGTCCAAATAACGGTCTCACCCTTTGAATGATCAAACATTTAACAAAAACCCCCTTAATGCCGAAAATGCCCTTATTGAAGCCATGTTACATTAAAAAAAGAACATATTTTTATTTTATTAACCCTGAAGCAATCCAAAAAAATAGAAAAAAGTTTTTTGCTTATTATTTTATAAAAACCATATCTTTGCTTCCATAAATAGTTTTGAATCAATAATTATTTTAAATCTTAAAAATGAATATTAAAAATTAGATAAATTGAAAGAAAAATAAAAAAAACGCAATTATTTTAATTCCTGGAGTATGGTTCGAATTTGTTCAAGGCATGTTGCGGAGAGCACAAGGCATGTTTTCCTCAATTTGAACCATACTCCAGGAATTAAAATAATTTCTTTTTTTATTTTTCTTTCAATTTATCTAATTTTTAATATTCATTTTTAAGATTTAAAATAATTATTGATTCAAAACTATTTATGGAAGTAAAGATATGGTTTTTATAAATAATAAGTAAAAACTTTTTTCTATTTTTTTGGATTGCTTCAGGGTTAATAAAATAAAAATATGTTCTTTTTTTAATGCAACATGGCCTCAATAAGGGCATTTTCGGCATTAAGGGGGTTTTTGTTAAATGTTTGATCATTCAAAGGGTGAAACTGTTATTTGGACAAATTACAGGGATTGATTGGTAATATGGTCAAACCTCAGGGGAGGTAAATGTAATTAATCCTTGTTTGTTTTGTTGTACCTAGTAGAGTTAATGAAGTAGCTAATGGAGTTAGTAGATTGGCTAGTGCAGTTAGTGGAGCTAGCGGAGTTAGTCGAATAATTAGTGGAGTTATTTTGAACTCTATAAATAGTATCAAATTTACAAAGAAATAAAGTCAGTCCTTTGTTTCTCTTATTATTTTTTCAGTAGTTGTATCAGATAATCCCCAAAAAATACCGAGATTCTCAACATCCCACCTTCCTCTGGCGTGCTTCCTCCATTTGCTTTTAATACAACCCCACATTCTTTCTTGATGCATTTAACAAGAATTTATAAGCGTATATTTAGTTGGTGACAGAAATCACTGCCGCGATTATGATTAATTTCTGTACTGAAGTGATTTGGTTGTGCGTGGGGAAGCTGCCTCGAATTTAGGCATTCTTGACTCTTAAAAAAAGAAAAAAATTGTGCCTTGATAGGAATTCTGCTGTGAAATTTGCATGAATGCATGATGGCTTACTGAGTTCTGATCGAGGAGGCCGTCGGTCAATGGTGCACTTACAGAAGCTGAGAGACGAGTTGCAGAGGGTGGAGCTATGAGGGGAGAGTGGAATTTAGTTGTAGATTAAAACATTGGAGGGTGTTCAAAAACAGAGAAAGAAAAGGGTCGAGGAGGAGGCCCCGTCGTCGCCGGAACTTTCCACCGCCACCGCCACCACCACCAACTGCTAGTTCTTCACCTGAATTGCCCTGTAATTTATTTCTTGATATTCTCAGTTTTAATTTCGCAACAAAATTATCTGCATTTGGCAAGTCTATTTAAATGTTTTATTGGAGTCCTAGTTTAATGCCTAATTCCATTTTTTATTTCCCGATGAACATGCCGTTTTATGCTTGAATATGTTTAGATTTGATTAAATGGGCTGTGATTGGAGCAACTATGCTGAACTTGACTACCGATGAGTGGTGAAAGTCTCCTCTTTATTATCGTCCCCCAAGTGTTCGATAAAGTGTTTATCTAAAGAATGATGATTGGAGAAAAGGAAACTTAATTTTGTATGAATGTCTTTTTTCCTTTTATACAGAGAAGAGACAGCAGTTTCTGGTGTTCTGTTTGAATGAACAAGATGACCATTTTCTAAATTGCAATTTTAGTTCCCGAATGTTACCTTTTTTGTTTTTTGACTCCATTGTTTCTCTGATTTTCAATTTAACCCTGTAAATTGAGTTCAAAAGTTTTCCCTAGGTCTAAAAAAGTCAAAATTGGTGCGATTATGTTTGACTTAAGGCCTAGTTGGCTAAGTTTTAAACTTCATAGTTCATTTTCCATAGTTTGGCTTTGTTAGTTTAATTGATTTTAATCAATTCTGTAGTCATCTTTCTGAGAATTGATGCGTACCCAAAATGGGATTGACGATATTGTATTGACATTATCTCTTTCTTTAGTTGCATTTTTTGTTTTGTGTAATCATGTGTGTCTAGCGCGTAATTTCTTGGCTTTTCCTACGGACACTTGGAATTTGTCAGTTGTGTTTTTATTTGCTTTGTTTTTGTGTTGTGCATGTTTAAGCTTGTGTTAATTAATCCATGTTGAGTGTTTACCTTAAATTAACTCATTTTTGCCCCTAAAACTAGAAGAATGAAATTAAACTTGCTGCCGGTTTTAGCCAGGGATGTGCTTGATGACAACACCTTGACCATCCTCCCTCACAACTGAGCTCTCAAATTCATTTTCTTTTTTTCCTAAGACTTAGAGTTGCCAAGGTAAAGGGTTTTAGCCTTCACTTCAAAAAATTAAAATATTTATACCATGTAGGTAACTGGGCACTACTAGAATCTGTAAACCATTGTATTTTCAAAGTCCCATTTAGGCCATTTTGTCTTTTTTGTTTTGAAAATCAAAAACCCGAAAATCACTTTTAAAGCATTGGTACAACAGAGTCTTGTGCAGTTGGAGAAACTTTCAAGAGAAAATTAATTTCTGATTTTTTTTTTTAAATTTAAAACAATATGAAATCAGAGCCCTTAATCCTTTTGTTCCACTGATATTCATTGTGACAGCTTGCTTGTGTGTCAATGCCAAGCTGCGAATAAATAGTGTCTAAATATTTCATGTGACCTATCATTGTGACTAATACACATGATAGTATTTCCAGCATGAGGCCCAGTTGAGACACCAAATTGGAGGTTGAAGATCTAATGTGGAACGCAAGATTGTCTGTTTGTGACCTGTAATAAACCACACACATGCCAATTCCTACATTTCAATTTCGCTGAGAACTGGTTTGGTTGGTTCTTAAAGGCTGCATTTCCTATTTGGAGCCAAAATACTATTTGTACGCCAATGGAATCCCAGACCCCTCCTCTTTCTTCTGCTTCAAAGGAACAAACCACAAAAGAAGAACTCAACATTCAATTTCAAACCCCAAAATCTTCTTCTTCGTCTCCTTTTTCTGCAGTAGTAAATATTAGGCTATGGGGGCCAGCAGCGCAGCGAAACCTTAGAAACCAATGGTCGAAGTTGGCTTCTTTATGGCAAGATTGGCAGTCTTGCTCATCCGCTACTCGCTCTCAAGCCACTACTCTTGTCAACTCCTATCTCTCCCAGAAGTACTGTAAAAAGCCAGCATTTATTAATGTTCTTAACAATATACAGAAAATCTTTTATTAAACCTAGTGTTTTATCTAAAATGGGGATTGTTTTTTTGGTTTTACAGGTATATGGATGCGATGGATTTGGGAATTTTGAGTGGCATGCTAAGTATTCGGAAAAAAGCCTCTTCGAAGTTGTTTAAGCAACAAGTTAGTGTGTTTGCTAAAAACTTGGTTTCTTTTCTTTTAACAGCTTTTATTGAAAATAGTGATTGAGATAGAGCCTTTGGTTGCTTTTGTGAAGAACTAACTTAGGAGAAATTAGGTTTGGTTTTCGCAAATTTGTGCTTGTTTAGATGAAATGGTCTAGACAATGGTTATAGTAGTATCTGTAGAGTGCTGTTATAGGAAATTATGTGTGATCTGGTGTACAGTTATCAATTAAGGCTATGTTTGGTTTGTTTATGGGAATTGGATTTGCATTGAATTTGATGTACTGTTAGTAATGTGACTTGAGTAATTCAGTCTAATTTCAATTCTCATGTGGAACCAAAACGCACAGAAGGGTGCATTCAAAATTTGACATTTTATGCTTTGTATATGGGTTTGAAGGAACATAGTTGATGGTAAGAAATTTTTGCACTTACCAGGATTGCTTTGTTAATTTATCACTCTCTAAACTTGTATGTGGTGACCTCAACTGTAGCTATGTGTGATGTTGTTGATAAATGTGTAAATATCAAGCACTATTGGATCAAGCATTTTGTGAGCTTGAGTATATTTGCATTTCCACATATTCTGTGATTGTTCATTAGGTTCTTTTCATGCCAGGCTTTGATAGGATTTGGCAGGGTCAATGCCAGAAAAACATACAATTCCTTAAAACTGTTGTGTTTGGCTGTTGGGTTTGTTATGGTACATCAGTATCATACCTTGCAAAGAATTATTGGAGGAAATAGAGAAGAGAACCTGCTTTTCTATTTTTTTTGAATTGATATTTGGATTATTCACAAAATTTACATGTTTATTTGTTCTTATACTTTTCTTTTCCGGTTTTCATGTTGAAAGGTACATAAATGTGAATAGCTTTTGGTATCCATGAGAACTTGTCCTTCAGTCTCCAATATTGGAAGCTAATCTAATGTGAAATGGGCTTAGTAAAAATATACTATCTTCCATATTAATGCGAATACAAATCTTTGTAATA